CATAGAATTATAGTAACCAAAAAAGAACTGCACAAATTTCGATTAACTGATGATTCATATACAACGCATTGTTGGCTAACTATAGGAGGTTTAGATTATTACATAGAATTATAGTAACCAAAAAAGAACTGCACAAATTTCGATTAACTGATGATTCATATACAACGCATTGTTGGCTAACTATAGGAGGTTTAGATTATTGCATAGAATTATAGTAACCAAAAAAGAACTGCACAAATTTCGATTAACTGATGATTCATATACAACGCATTGTTGGCTAACTATAGGAGGTTTAGATTATTACATAGAATTATAGTAACCAAAAAAGAACTGCACAAATTTCGATTAACTGATGATTCATATACAACGCATTGTTGGCTAACTATAGGAGGTTTAGATTATTGCATAGAATTATAGTAACCAAAAAAGAACTGCACAAATTTCGATTAACTGATGATTCATATACAACGCATTGTTGGCTAACTATAGGAGGTTTAGATTATTGCATAGAATTATAGTAACCAAAAAAGAACTGCACAAATTTCGATTAACTGATGATTCATATACAACGCATTGTTGGCTAACTATAGGAGGTTTAGATTATTGCATAGAATTATAGTAACCAAAAAAGAACTGCACAAATTTCGATTAACTGATGATTCATATACAACGCATTGTTGGCTAACTATAGGAGGTTTAGATTATTGCATAGAATTATAGTAACCAAAAAAGAACTGCACAAATTTCGATTAACTGATGATTCATATACAACGCATTGTTGGCTAACTATAGGAGGTTTAGATTATTACATAGAATTATAGTAACCAAAAAAGAACTGCACAAATTTCGATTAACTGATGATTCATATACAACGCATTGTTGGCTAACTATAGGAGGTTTAGATTATTGCATAGAATTATAGTAACCAAAAAAGAACTGCACAAATTTCGATTAACTGATGATTCATATACAACGCATTGTTGGCTAACTATAGGAGGTTTAGATTATTGCATAGAATTATAGTAACCAAAAAAGAACTGCACAAATTTCGATTAACTGATGATTCATATACAACGCATTGTTGGCTAACTATAGGAGGTTTAGATTATTGCATAGAATTATAGTAACCAAAAAAGAACTGCACAAATTTCGATTAACTGATGATTCATATACAACGCATTGTTGGCTAACTATAGGAGGTTTAGATTATTGCATAGAATTATAGTAACCAAAAAAGAACTGCACAAATTTCGATTAACTGATGATTCATATACAACGCATTGTTGGCTAACTATAGGAGGTTTAGATTATTGCATAGAATTATAGTAACCAAAAAAGAACTGCACAAATTTCGATTAACTGATGATTCATATACAACGCATTGTTGGCTAACTATAGGAGGTTTAGATTATTGCATAGAATTATAGTAACCAAAAAAGAACTGCACAAATTTCGATTAACTGATGATTCATATACAACGCATTGTTGGCTAACTATAGGAGGTTTAGATTATTACATAGAATTATAGTAACCAAAAAAGAACTGCACAAATTTTTTGGTTACTATAATTCTATGCAATAATCTTAACCTCCTATAGTTAGCCAACAATGCGTTGTATATGAATCATCAGTTAATCGAAATTTGTGCAGTTCTTTTTTGGTTACTATAATTCTATGCAATAATCTAAACCTCCTATAGTTAGCCAACAATGCGTTGTATATGAATTTAAAAATTCTAAGCTAAATTTTCCAATTTTCTTTTCAGGCCGGACCTGTAGGAACTTCAGTAGGTGAAGGTGACATCTCGCAACGTCAGCTTGAACTCCAGTATTCAAGAGTTGTACAAGCTTCTTTTCTGTACTCAAGGGTAAAATTGATGTACACAGCTGCTATTAACGTCCATGCTTGTGTTTGGTTTTCAACGTATTTTTTTTTCTCAGTTACTCGCTGTTTTTAATGATCTGCGCGCTGTTATAATCGGAAGATTTTTGCGGCAGAGAGTAGTCACTCTGTACTCCGTTTTGTCTTTGCTGCGGATTTGTGACTCGCGCCCTCTGTTTTGTGTTTGATTGTTACATATTAAGTGACTCGCGCACTCTGTTTTGTGTTTTGGATATATCAACAAAGTTGAAATGGTAAATTGGCCACCGTAATGATTACAAAAGCTGACGTTTCGAGCGTTAGCCCTTCGTCGGAGCGAAGTTTGACTAATTTAGAGACTTACCTGAAGCTTTATTTGTTTATCAAGTTCAGCAATTTTCATCTTCATTTTTAGCTGCAACTCTAGATCGGCTACCTCACGTTGAAGTTTTTCTTTCTCTTTCTTTTTCTTCGTCGGAGCGAAGATTGTTAAGTTTGTGACTTGCGCACTCTTTTTTGTGTTTGATTGTTACGTAACGACTTACACATTCTTTTTTTGTGTTTGATTGTCATGGTAGTGACTCGTGCATTCCGTTTTATGTTTGATTGTTTATTTTGTAACTTGCGCACTTTGTTTTCTGTTTGATTGCCAAGTAAGTGATTTGTGCATTCTTTTTTGTGTGTGGTCGTTTAGTTTGTGACTTAAACACTTTTTTTTTCGTTTTGGGGAGTAGAAATACTCCTAGTCGCTTCAAGCTATGGAAACCGGAGATAAGCACCGGCATGATGGGCCAGTTGGCTCTATACAGACTTTGCCTTTTTAGTAAATCTTGCTCGATGTCTGATGTTTAATTTTTGTGTAGTTGAATCGTTCACTCTGGTTTGTTTTCTTTAAGGGATTACTATTTATTTGTCTTTAACTATCTGTTCTGTTTGATTTATAAGTGAGCACTGAAGACACTACTTTTGTCATGTTTCAGTTGTAATATCTTTTTGACGTTGATCCTTGTTTCTACTTACATTTAGTAAAAATTTTCTGTTTTGTTGCAGCTGAAACATTCCTTCGGACAAAAAGAAAAAGACGCACAGGTAGTTATCAACTTGATGTCCATTTTGATGAAAATGTTATATAAGAATTGAGTGATATTTTAGTGGTTCGTCAACAGTCACTTTAGTTTGCCGGCAAGAAAGAGACGGGTCTATTCTCATAGTAGGTCGGTATTAATGAATTTTAACGTTCTGTTTATTCAGAGTCAAATTTACCATGTGTGGCAGGAGAAAGAGAAACTTCAACGTGAGGTAGCCGATCTAGAGTTGCAGCTAAAAATGAAGATGAAAATTGCTGAACTTGATAAACAAATAAAGCTTCAGGTAAGTCTCTAAATTAGTCAGCGTAACTATTGCCAGTGCACGCTCTTATGTTCCTTTCCCACCATTTTCAAGTGATGCAGCGATTCCGCAGAAATCCTTGCTTGTTAGGTGCAAAGTTGCTGCCCTGTTTATTTGCCAATGAACTTTTACTGATAAAACCCCGAAAGTATTTTGTGGGAAGGCGTACAAATACTGGGGAATCTGACTCGTCCCGAGTCGTCTTCAAAGTAGGGACAACGAGCGCTGGTAGAATGGGTGCACTGTTAAGTGATCTCAGTGAAATTATTTGATTGATGATTCACAGATGTCAGGGCTAGAGCCCATTGGGTCTAACATGGTGAAGTTAATACTAGAGTACAGCAAGCTAGCCGCTGCTCTGGATACTACCCGGCATCACATGTCAGTCAACGGAGTGCTTCTTCCTGATAATCATGGTAAGACTCACAGCCGTAAATAGAAATAAGATTTTAAGTTTGGTAAGAACACACCAGGTGACGAGTAAGTGCTTGAGTTTCCTACTTCAGGCAAACTGCTTCAAGTCTATTGTCTCTGAAACAAGGCGCTGCGACAGGTCTCCTGAGCTTAAAATTCAGCTGTGGTTCAAGAAATGTACCAGGGGTTTCAATAACATTAGTTATAAGCGGCCACTGAAGGTTTAATAGGCGGCTGTGACCACTAAATCACTTTTGATTTTCATGAATGAAATCCAAACAGACGGCGGTAAGAGGTCCTACAGGCGGCGGTAAACCGCCGGTAGCCTACTCCAAAGGGGAAGAGGGAAAGGATCATAGGAGCCACGAAAGTCAAGCAGATTGCGCTGTGTACAATGGATTCAACTAAACCTTGAAAAAATTGAACCTCTTACGATGTGGCTTGACTTCTAGTATGTTTTGTTACTGCAGGGAAGGGTTTAACGACTCAAAAGCAAGCAATGAGACTAGTACAATAGAACAATAACAACACAACTCCCCCCCCCCCTCTCCCCACAAGAAGAAAAGAAAGAAAAGAAAAACTGACCCCTAACCAGGGCGAGAGAATGCGATTGTGTCTTCGACTTTATTTTAAGTGGCAGTTTTGACCTAAGTTGACTAAAATTTTCCCGCACTTTTATTATCAACTTTTCCTCTCTTATTTCTTTCTCTCTAGATCAGCTTTTTGCTGTTCTTGACGAAAGTGAAAGATTACTCGGCGAAATTGACGCGCTTTCCAAAGAAAACCAACAGAAGGTAAGCCCTGGATGATATTTGATATACTTCTAGTGAAACAGCTAGTGACGAGTTATTCCTTAGAGCGCTTTTTGACCGAATAATACAAACCTGAAACGAAGGTAATCATGAGAGCGAAATAAAGCCAATCAAATGACATTTTACAAGGAGTCAACCGACGAATTCTCGAAGCAGACTGAATGGAGCGCGGAACATCGCTGATGAAATGTTACGCTTAGTTTTAGTTTTGCGTCTGATTGGTCGAGGGTAGAACTAGTTTTCTGGACCAATTACAGTGCAGCAAAGTACAACCAATGCAATCCCAGGATTACCTTCGGCATTCAACTCTGGCTCATTTCCTGAGGAACTTTTGATCTTTTCCATCGCTGCCACCGCTACAAACGGGAACCCCCACGAAAATCTGATATCTTATTCCTATTTTGCGGGCGTTTGTGTCTTTCTGCGCGTATGATATATTAGTTTTTAAGAGGCGCCAAATTTTTGACCCTGTAGAAAGTATGCAATGGGTGTACAGTGGCTAACCAAAGTTTCCTTTTCAACAGATCGTATCCTTCGCCAAAGAGATGGAGGGGTTGTCCAAAATAGTAGATTCTGAAATTCAAGAACAAAACAGGTAAGATGGTGTTGGAGTCTGTGATTTACACGTATAGAGAGAATGGACTTCAGTGCTAGGTCATTTACAGATAGGATATATTTAAAAAGAAAAACCTGAACAATTTGATGTAAGCGTGAATTATAGAGGAATAAATTTAGGTGTCTGCCTCTCTCGTCAGATCAGTCTCTTAAGATATCACACATGGTAATGCTGATATCGTTCAATAATACATGGCAGCTACTAAGTTTGGGATGTTTACCTCAGCTTGCCAACATTTCTTGGGAAAGGAAACAGTTCGTTATCTCATCAAGCCCTTTATCTTCTGCTCCCAACATTTTAGCTGGTTTCTTCTAAAACTGGGCTGTACAATCTGTTCAAAAGAGTGGAGTGTGCAAATTTTCGTTTTATGTTTTAATGCATGATGGACATTTTGCAGAAATAAAAATAACTCGGCATCCAGAAATTGAAATAATTTTGTTTTTATTTTAAGGTGTGGTGAACTGCTGGCTGCCGCGTCAACACTCAACACTCAAGAGCGTAGTCTTCAAGCGCAATCCATCACGGCTGGGTTATAGAAAATTTTCATTTGGTTTCGTCTCTTTCTGTGTATCGAGCGTTTGAAAATGTCAAGTTATAGCTCACCGAGCCAAATAAACAAAGACTAAAGGCTGATAGTTTCTAAAGAAACTGTTTGGGGCTACGTCGGTGGGGGTAACGAAATAATTTGAATATATCAACAAAGTTGAAATGGTAAATTGGCCACCGTCACGATTATAAAAGCTGACGTTTCGAGCGTTAGCCCTTCGTCGGAGCGAAGGGCTAACGCTCGAAACGTCAGCTTTTATATCGTAACGGTGGCCAATTTACCATTTCAACTTTGTTGATATATTCAAACAAAGACTAACCTTAGTCTAAGGAGCTCGTTGACTCAATGATCAAATGATGAACAGAAGATGACTTCTCTCTTTATGTGCTTTATGACTCTAACGGTAATGTACCCAAGAGAAATTGAGAAACGTTTGAGAATTATTCTTGGTTCAAACTCTGATTCCTAGTGGTGAACACTCGTAGCCACGCTACACCAATCTTCGCCAATTCGTTGTCAGGAAAGAACATTTCGCTGGGTGATATTTGGACTCATTCGTGCAGGATTATCCCAGCTACTACACCTGCTGATTTTACTGAAAACACCTTTCCAGCACAAAGCTATCTAGCAGGGATCTTCCTTGGTATTTACTGTATTTCGAAAGAACTCTGAAACTTTCTAAAGAAACACTTTAGACATTAAACTACCCAGTTAGCTACATGGCATGTCGATAGAAATATATCTTAAATAGTCTTTAGAATGGTCGTTGTTCTTAAGACCTCCAAGCAATTATCTTCAGTGATTTTGTCAAAGATTTCCGCAGCAACTAGAAAAGGTTATTTGCGAAATCCTCGTTCCTCTGTTACTTGCTCGTGTCAGTGTGACTGTGTTTTCTGACAGATGTATCACATTTGTAAGAACTACTGACTACTCCATCACATTTTAATTATTTTCCCAAGAGTTTTTTTAGTCTCAATCTTTCGAACTAAGGGTGCATCTTTGGGAGGGACCTTGTGTAGTGGTACTTCTGTTATTTCAGTTTGCCCTGGAGATGGTCTTGCACTCAGAATATATCGAACTTAGGTGGGAACCTGGAGCGTAGACTTGTATTAGTATAGTACTGTAATTTTTATAGTTAAAAGGGTATATGAAAGGGGACTTTTTTCTGTCATGGCATTGCCTCATATAAACAGGAGGCGGGATTGGGAGAAATCCTGAGTTTAAGGAAACCCGGGACATTAGAGAGATTTAGCACAGCGTTTACGTGAAACGTGAACGGCAAGATTGATCGCGTTACCTTGTTTTTTCCCGTAATTTTTTTTTTACTTTTACTGGTTGCGCTTCGGCGTTTCTACGTGAAAGTAACCTGTTTCTCGTTTGCCGTACGTAAGATTTTCTTCACTCTTTCTCACAGAGTAGAAGTTAATATCCGCAAAAAGGGCACTGAAACGATTCCTTTTAAGTCATACAAGGGCGCCTTGAAATCCACCATGACGTGACCTCACGTGAAGCTAAAGCAGTAAGGTTCACGCTATTTTACGTGAAACGTAAAAGGGCAAGCTGGCGTTTACCGTTTCACGCAAACGTAGTGCTAAATCCCTCTATTTTCGAGGGTTTGTATTACTTTGGCGAATTCTTCCAGCCTCCTCAGATGCTAACTAGAGGCCGTGTAGACTCGAAAAAGTGCATCCTTCCTAATATAATAGAATATTTCTCAAAATACTTGCAAATCGTGAGCGTCATGATCGTGTTTTGATACATACTTTTCACTTGCCCTCTGGATTCAAATAGAGGGGGAATATAACATGTATTTTGGTGCTGTAACGTGCGTAAACCAACCATAGTCAGCAGTATTTTAATACAGGAATGAGATACTTCTACTTCCCATGACGGACCTATCACCGGTTAGCGCTAAAAGCTTTGCGCGAGAGAGAGCTGTTGTTCAGCGCCTGAAACGAACAGAAAAAGCTGTTGTTGAGGTGATTTCCGAGAAGCAAAAGATAAACGGATTTTTTTTTTAAAAAAAAATATCTCGTTCTTTACTACTTGAGATAGTGGTTCGAGTTTAGCAAATAAAAGTAAGGTCATCATACTCGTTGAGGAGACAAGAACTACAAATTATCCCTTACAATGAATATATGAAGTTCATATATTTTGAACTGCGGTTGTAGATACGTATGATGCACGATCCTCGCAGTAGAGAGCGCTATTTATGCAATAGCGAAAATCAGACCTGAAAATTCAGGCCTGCACGGGATTCGAACCACTGACCTAAATTGTTAACCAAATCATCCCTTGTTCAACCCCTTACCTCCAGCATCAGTATGCTTATTCTCTACACTCTTCTCTGTAATTTTCCTAAGAAAGCGCCGACAAGATTCTAAAAATCGAGTGTATCGCAAGTGGATGATCATTTCCTTCATTCTTGTGATCTTAGAGCTGGATTCCGGAGTAATGTTGTAGCGGAGGAGAAATTAGATGCTGGTCACTCCTGGGGTTTAAGGGTTATGACTGCGCATGTCAAGAGAATGTAGAGTTGATTTCACTTTCTTTATGTTTTGCGGGAACAGGAGAAAGCCTTGGAGTAATTATTGAAATAACAAAATAAGTCTAAATTGTTAACCAAATCCAACGCTTTAACTTTTGTTTTAAGTATTTCGCGAGTGCGAAATGTCAAGGACATAATGCTCTTGTCCTGAATGCTTTTTAGTGGCCACTCAGTATTTTCTGACATAATTTAGACAATATTGGACTTAAAAATGTGACTCACTTGCTCGTTTTTATTGGGAAACCAGCCATTTCTTCTTTTCGTAAGGGGTCTCTAATATCAGGCACTATTGTGAACTACATTAATAAATTTTATCTTTAGAAGTATTGCTGGGAATTCTGTGATTTTTCTACTTAGAAAGATTTTTTCTTTCTTAACGCGTTAATTCTGATCAAATATGTTTCATTTTGGTCATCTGGTACTGTTAAACTGTGTCGCAAATCAATAACCGTCGCCGGAAATCGAGCTCTAGCCGTTCGAACAACTTGGACACCCACGAGTTGAAATATGCGTTGAGTCTGATTAGTACACGAAATCCTCAGATGATAAATAAAACTAGAGGGGATTGTTTTATTTCTTCTTCACAATACCAGCGGTATAATGACAAGGAAGATTCAAAACAGTGAGGAATGTAGTGGAAAGTGACGACTGGAGACCGCTAAGAGCCCGTTATGTTTAGTCTCAACCAGTGAGTTTTTTTTTTTTCTTTCTTTCTTTCTTTCGTTCTTTCTTTCTTTCTTTCTTTCTTTCTTTCTTTCTTTCTTTCTTTCTTTCTTTCTTTCTTTCTTTCTTTCTTTCTTTCTTTCTTTTACGAGGTAGTGCGTTATTCGTGACTAGAAGAGTTCAGTTTGAGCAGTTTTTTTTGATTTTCTGAACTCGAATTGTTTCAGAAACTGTTTTTAGCAAAATTATTTATTCATTTTACTTTTTCTTCTTGACTTTACTGTGCGCTCGTATGCGAAGGGAAGATTCGAGTCACGCGCGAAACGTGTTTTTCTGCGTGCTCTGACCATTGTCACGTGGTAATGATGACGTAGGCATATCGTCGCCATTTTGGAAGCTGGAGGAACCAAAATATCGGAGGATTTTCTTTCTTTGAACTTGATCTCAGGGTAGAACCGACTAGTTGGATTGTAAATCAAGTAAATAGTTATTTCAAGACTTTCCTGTGACATATTTAATCAATGTGAAGGGTTTATTACCCTCCTACCACTTTATATAGTTCTTCCGGCTCAAGTCCTGTTTACTAATCCATGTACAAGTATATTCTGTTCACTGAGTTTTAAACGGTTCGAATAGCAAGTGACGTTTGAACAAGGGCACGCATTGAACCAGGACGCCTTGGTTATAAGGTTGATTTGGGCACCTAAATCAAAGACTCTACAGCTGAGGAGAGAATGGTATGCCGCTGCGAAGAATATAAAATGGGGGTTTTGGACAGTGATGGAACTTTCATTTATACGAAATGATATTCTGCAGCTGTTATCTGTCTCAACTCTTGTCTGAAGAATTGAGAGCTTTACTCCGATGTCTTCCACACTAGAGGAAATCGATGGAAATTCTAACATTACGATCGATCTCGACGAAAAGGAGTCGGAAACAAAATGCAGCGAGGAGGAAGTGTTAGTTAATGGCGATGGATGTATGGACCATACAAATTTGAACGGCGATACGAGCGATAATCGAGATGAAAGCCATATTGTTAAAGCTCACAACTCGTTGTTTCCTTTAAATGGAATTACACCCGGTGGAGATCAAGAGTTAACGTTAATTTTAGCAGAACATGAGCACATGAAAAGCGAACTTTCTCAGTTGCAGAAGGATTACAGATTACCGTTGGAACGTGAGGAAAGTTTGTCTGAAAAACTTAAAGATAATCATGGGAAAGAAGACTCAAGTGTCGAAGACTTGAGCAGGGTAAACGAAGACTTGAGGAAAAATTTAGACACAGTGCTTGAGGAGTTAAAATCCTCAAAGGACGAACTTAAAAGGTAGGAGCATGTTATAAAATTTGCACACTGAAAATGTGACGTTAGAAATACGATTTGCTACGCTTCCCTAATGTGGTTGTGCTTATAATGTTGTTGTTTTCTTGCCTTACGGCGATATTGTTTCATCCCTTTTATTTACTAGACAACAACTAGCTATGCAAAACATTCAATCTACAGTATATTCCCTGCTTTTGACTTCCTCTTAATCAAAATATCCTTTTCTTCATGTGATCTCTTGCTGATTGGGTTTGCAAGGACTAAAGATGTCTCGAAATTGTTTTCTTAACACAAAAATCATAATATCGGTTAACACATAAGCCCTGCTTCAAAGATCCTTGGTCCCACATTGAGAGTTGATCACAAATGTTTGAGCTAGGACACGATTTTGCTTACAGATGATCATGAATCAAATTACAAAGTGTAAAACAATGTTTTGTTTATATTTGTCATGCACCTGCTGTACACATTCCATTGAGTTACTTTATCATGTAATGACAAAGACCTGCTATTTCTCGCTTCGCCAGTCTCAAGACCAAAACACAATATCAGTGCATGCTCTCTTTCATTAGTTTCTTTTATCCAATACAATTATTGAAGCTGCCAACACAGAGGCCTTCAAGCTTGCCTTGAGGGCCCAGGCCAGGCCCCATTGAGCAATTGAACATTTTTTTTTTCTAATTCTTATATCACTAGCACACACTCACTGCACTGATTTTTAGCGCGCATAGCACAAGCACAGCACATATCTGCTGAAGATGGGCTGTACTGCCCTTTGCAGATTAGACATTTAGATTTAGATCCACTCAACCCACAATACCATTTCAGAGCAAAACAGTTATTAATGAAGCTGAAATCATTTATTATGAAGCTTATTCAACAATTTTGAATTTATGTTGGTATTTTTTTTTAAATGCTATCAACATATCTTAGTTTTTCATGCAAAAAAAAAAAACACTGAGCTTGCTCTTGTCATGATTTTTTTTGTGGGCATGAATAAGGCCATTATACAAATATAATTTTTGAGATGTGTTTTGTCTTTACATAATTGTCTAGAAAAGTAACACTGTCTCATAAATTATAATAACTAGATCTTGACTGTTGCTGAATCTGGTAGTTCATAATGTTATAAGTATGTCTCTTAAAATTAAGTTTTGCACCTTAAGAAATATGATTTCCCACATTCTGAGATTAAGGCATTATGTTTTGATTTCAGGTTTTTTGACAATAAAATTGTACTTTTTTGCTTTCAAATATGGAAAAACAAAGTAAAAACAGTGGACTAAAACAACTGTAGCTCATTTTAGTATTTGCTTTGTTTAACCATTTAGAGTTAAGGACAAAAATGATCAACTGGTAAAAGAGAAGAGTAATCTAACTGCAGAAATATCAAGGTTACAAGTGAGTGAAAATGAAGAAAGTGAAACACTCAGAAAGGCTAATCAGGAATTTGAACAGAAACTTCAGGAAAGGACAGAAGAGCTTGATACTACAAAAGAGAAACTCCAAGCTCATGATCAGGCTGCAAAGAGAGCTATTGCAGCTTTGCAAAAGGAAATGGCTCTCAGAGTTGACCAGGTTAGTGTCAAATCTCTGCATTCAATATGTATGGTATATCAGATACTCTAAATGTTGCAGTTAAAGAAAGATGTTATTCATTTTATTACTAACATGAAAAAAAGAAATTATCCATGTAATTATTGCATGTAAATAGTAAGAATAAAAAAAGATGGTAGACTTTGAGGTCGATCGCAGAATAATATTGTAGACGTAAAGGTCTTATTCCTTGTAGACGACTCAGATATCTCTTTTTTCTTACTGTGCTAGTGGCAAAACAAATAACATCTGTCTTTATTCCATGGCAAAGCTTAATAAAGTTTCAGTCACTGTATTTACTTGAATATGTGCTGTAGCACCTAAACAATATTTTTCACAACTCAACTGCAGGGCTTATTTGAAGGCAGAGTCTAACTGAGAGCAGGGCTCTCTCTAAAGAAATATTCTCTTTAAATTAAACAGTATATTTCTATGATTACCACCAGTCGTCTCCCCAAGCACTTTTCAATTGGATAATCAGTAGTGTCTCCACTCAACTTTGATCTCACTGACCCCTTTTTGATCTGAGTTTATGAGCTCCAGCATGAGGTTACACACGAATCTGAATATGTGCATTTGAAAGGATTTGCATCTAGTTCCTTCAAGATATCCCATTGTGTATGAAGTTTAGCAGCTTGTGGAAGAATTCTTTGAATAAGATCCACAACCATGCTGCAATGCTTGTGCAAGGGCAGGGCTTTTGAACTTTTCTGTCCCAATTGTGGCACTTCTTTCAAGGGAGGCCCTCATTCAGGGGCAGGGCTTATTCAACTAATACAGTATCTGCAAACTTTCATTTGAAGTGAAACGAGAATAAAGCAAGTGAAAGGAAATGAATAATGAGATCTTGGGACTGGGAAACCACCCCTGAAAGTTATGGAACCTTTTGACCAGATTTCAGTGAATTTTGTGTCTGTTAGTGAACTTTGAATTTCAAACTTTTATAGAAGTATAAAGGCTGATGGTTTCGAAAGAAACTGTTTGGGGCTGCGTCGGTGAGAGTAACGAAATAATTTGGATATATCAACAAAGTTGAAAAGGTAAATTGGCCACCGTAACGATTACAAAAGCTGACATTTCGATTGTTGGCCCTTCGTCGGAGCGAAAGACGAAGGGCTAACACATGAAACATCAGCTTTTGTAATCGTTACAGTGGCCAATTTACCATTTCAACTTTGTTGATATACCTAAATTATTTTATAGAAGTATGTCTTACTTATATGTTATACCATGTTTAAGGTGACAAAGATGTATGAGGATGTACTCAAGGAGAAAGAAAATATGGGAATTAAATCAATTCAGGGAGAGGAGGAAAAGAAGAAAATGGCTAGAGAGAATGAACTATTAGCAAGAAAAGTTTCTGAAAATACAAAGGTTTGTGTGATGTTACTTTCCAAAATTGCATACATGTATGTGTAGATTCTTTTGTTGCCATGTACTTACTGACCTTGTAAAACTCACATACCTTTACCTGGACTGCTCATCAAATGGTTCTATCCCAATTCTTTACAAAGGAAATAGAGAAGTTCCGCCAGAAACTGAAAACAATGCAGACTGATCATGCTAAGTTACAGACGGCCTATGATGACAAGGTAAGCAGTTGATGCTCCACGTCTGTTTGATTGTCGTGATGATACATCTAAGTCTTCCATATACAACTCATATTTCTTTACAGGGAAAGGAACTAAATGCTATTTTGAGAGAGTCAGACAAGCTTACAGAGGAAGTAAATTCACAAGCTGTGAAAGTCAAGTGGGCACAGAACAAACTTAAAACAGAATTAGAGATGCATAAGGTAAAAGCCAGTCTTGGTCCTTTTTATTGTGCATAGATGCAAGAGCTCATTGCAGTTTCTTCAATATCAAGAGACTCCATGTGGGTTTATTGTTTCTCAAATGCAAGTTACCCCCCAGAACTTTGTCAAGTTTCAGGGCTTTCAATAAATTTGAAAGTTAATGATAAAAAAAGGGCAGACATGTTATTGCATGTATTTTCATCAGTTTATACTCACGACTGGGAACTATTCAGTCAAGATGAATAGACAAAGCTTTAAAAGTTAAAACTTTTGAGCAGTTCTCAAAGTGGAATCTGTTTGCACATTTAAACCTGCTGCAGGTAAATTAAGTATTTGATACCACTCAAAACTGAGAAATAGATGCTTTACATGATTATGTATATAAGAACGATCCTTCGCAGTAAAGCACTATTTGAGCAATAGTACAGGCCTGAAATTTTTTTCAGGTCTGATTTTCATTATTGCTCAAATAGTGCTTTACTGCGAAGGATCGTTCTTATATACGTCTCATAACCGCAGTTCACACATATGTTTCATATGTTTGTTGTTGTTTGATTTATCATCTACGGGTTTATGTCGAATTAATTTGATGGCCTGCTCCCAGTTGGCTTGTTAGCTCAATTGGTAGAGCGCTGCACTAGTATCGCAGAGGTCAGTGGTTCGAATCCCGTACAGGCCTGAAATTTTTTTCAGGTCTGATTTTCACTATTGCTCAAATAGTGCTTTACTGCGAAGGATCGTTCTTATATACGTCTCATAACCACAGTTCACACATATGTTTCATATGTTTGTTGTTGTTTGATTTATCATCCACGGGTTTATATCGAATTAATTTGATGGCCTGCTCCCAGTTGGCTTGTTAGCTCAATTGGTAGAGCGCTGCACTAGTATCGCAGAGGTCAGTGGTTCGAATCCCGTACAGGCCTGAAATTTTTTTCAGGTCTGATTTTCACTATTGCTCAAATAGTGCTTTACTGCGAAGGATCGTTCTTATATACGTCTCATAACCGCAGTTCACACATATGTTTCATATGTTTGTTGTTGTTACATGATTATATTGATGAGCTAAATTCTATAAATGAGCAAATTTTCATAAGCATGTATGATACAACAAGGTGATAGTAGAGTATGGCAGACTAGCTGGCTGTTTTTGCTATTTATGAACCCTTTTTTGGCAGCTCTGAAGTTCCACTGAAAACTAATTCACAAGCACCCACTAACAATCCTACAGCTGTAGAGCAACATCACAATTATTCCAATCTAAACTTTCACCAGAATATTTCAATCTTAAGTCCAACCTATTAATGTTTTTGTTATTTATTAGGAAACAAAAGCCAAACTTGCACAAGTAGCACAGAAACTCAAAGAATCCAGAGAAGAAGGTCTTCAGATTAGGGCTGACTGTCAGGCTATGATAAAACAGTATCAGGTGAGATTTCACTAATAACTTGTGTGCTCTAAATGTGAAAAAAAAATTTCTGTTAGCAGTAATAATTTAGAGGCATTTTTTTCAAGGCCATTGAAATACAGAACCACCTTAGAAATGTTCTGAGAATGACCAATTCCTAGGATTAACAATTGGTTCATACATCAGCATGCATTCATCGAGATATGAAGCACACGGGAAGTTTGGAGAGCACGAAAGATGTGTAAGAGTTGCTTGAGGCGTAGCTGAGAGCAACTCTAGCTTCTTGAGTGCTCTCTCAACTTCCCAAGTGCTTCATATCTCGATGAACGCACAGCTGACGTATGAACCAATTGTTTTATAACATTTTCAACACTAGTTTATGTATAAAGGGCAGAAATTCCCTCTCCTACACTTCAATGCGTTGTTTATTTTGTTTCGGAAAAATATATCACCATGCTTCAATGATCTTGTCTCAGATTGGTCAAAAACTGACAGGTGAATTCATGCGTGGAAATTAAGTTAGAGTTCCTAAACTAGATGAAACTGTTGATTGTTTTGTTTTCCCTTTCTCTGGGTTGTTTCTCAGGAGTTAAAAAATCCATTCCCAAAGAAAAAGTAGGCAGATCTTTATCAGCTTGTTCACTTGTTGCCATGTCTAGTTTGACTTTTTTGCAGAAGTTTTTCCTGTTTTTTAATGAAAAATGCTGAAGTCACTCACGAGAAAAAAATTTGTTTGCGAGGCATTTGTTTGCTGACGTCACCAGCATGCACAATGGAAAATTGAAGCATGCTCTCGCTATTGAATTTGATTGCACGAATTTACAAGCTTTGTTATAATACTTAATGATGGTCTCTGTAATTCGTAATTGCATAGGTTGTTGTCCACGTTCCTACTGGGCATATGTTTAAATATTGACCCTTTAAACTTGTATGTGACAGCAACATATGTTTTTGTTTGTCTCAAGGAATCAGAAGAAATGAAATCAAATTCCTTGGATAGTAAACTCAAAGCAAAAGAAGTTGAACTTAAAAGGCATGAGCAAGAAATTGCAGACCAGGATGAGGTATTGTTAGTAATTCTTGTCATTAATTTAGTAGAGACTTAACTGGATTTGTCTCCAAGCAGCAGAAAATTTGTAATTGGCTGGTTGAATTTTTATAAGGTTGCTGAATTTACATGCAAGCTACCCCTACACTGTATTTGTGAAAATGTGTCATTTGAGGGGTTGAAAATTTTCAGTTTTGGGGCAGACCCTGGAGAGTTGCTATTTGTTAAGTTTAGTCCATGTGATTTGACTCATGACCTACAGTCTTTAAAACCTAAATCATGGGTTTGAAAACATGTCTCAAAAATGTATTTTATTTTGATGGTGAAAAGAGTATGAACTGAGATGAAAACTAATTACATCAGTTCTATTAGGTGAAAAAATGAAGCCTGATATTGTGAAAGCTACTTTTTTTAAAGTTGAATAGCTGTAAAAATAGGCATACAGTTACAATGCAAACTGAAACATTGTTACTATTTTGAAATGATTATTAATTCACTATGTAGTACAAACAAATCAAAATTTTACAATGGGATATGCACTGTTTTTTTGTACCCATAATAAGTGATACCTCAGCATCCAACAACATTCTTTGTTAAGGTATAAGCATCTAAACAGCACTTTTTACCCTCCCATATTCTGACACTAAAGGTTCACAAAATGAAAGTTCAGGAATTAGAGACATGGAAAGAGCAGTGCAAGAAAAGTAAAGAAGAAGTAAAGGTTTTCAAAGAAAAGGTACAGTAGTTGAACGCATGAATGTTACTGTTGTGTATACCAGTAGTGGAATTAAATGATAGGTTCTTGTTTAAGTTTTTATTCTTTGTCTAAAGAGAAGTTTAAGGTAGCCATGTAAGGATGCCTTGTATTGCCAACCATTAAACCTTTGTCTATGTTGGATAACAGTAGCAAAGGGATAAGATAGCAAAAGTGGCCAAGATTTTGGCTGCAATTGTGAAATGTTCCATTAAAAGTATGCAAATATAGCAAGGATAAGAAATTTATCAATGAAAAAGAAAGGTGCATCACACAGGAGAAGAAAAGAAAGTGGGGAGCCAATCAGTGTTTCAAATGTATCTATAAAGTTAGATTGGAGCACAATTGTGTCTGTGATTCACTGTTTAAGCCCTAAGGGACTTGATGGCAAACAGCATTCACTTTGCAAAGTGCCCTCAGTGATCAAGAGCATTACCTCTAGATGAAGCATGAATATTTCATTAACAAGCTCATGCATGCCTCATTCTAAGAGCAGTGAATATTCTTCCCAAAATTGCAAATTTCCTAGATGTAAAATTCAGTTTAGATTTATAACCAGTGTTATCAAAAGACAGTGCTATAGAGAATATAAATGTATTGGAAATGTTTTTCTGCAGATAAGTGAGTTAGAGGAAAAAATCATACAGTATGCACTAAAGGTGGCAGAACATGAAAAGAGTGCCCTAATGAACATAAAGGAGCAGCAGAATCTTAAGAAAGAGCTTGAAGAGTGTCAACTGTACAAGGCAAAGTATGAAAGGTTAGTGATATCATGTATATTGTAAGTAATTTAAGCTAATAGTAATAACTACAAATTTCAACCCAAACTTCCATAATACTGTATATTGCTCCTGACCTATTAACCCTTTAACTCCAGCCATGCATGACTGAGAGAGAGAATTTCTCCTTACAATATTAATACAATATCAAGCAGACAAGTGAGGAGAATAAAGAAAAATATCAATTTATCATATCAACTGTGGTTTAGCCTAGTCTGTACACTAATTGACAACAATAGTCATCATTACAGTGGTCAAAATGTTGTAGACTCATGAGGTGCAGCCGAGTGAATCCACAATAAATTATAACAAATATCAATGTCAAATGAAACGTTTCCTTCAGTGTGTGACTTGTTGCATGACAGGTTGATGCAAGCAGCAGATTGCAACATTACTGTAAATTGTGTAAAATAGGGAATTACCAGTTGATCCACCAGCAAATTCCCTGAAGTGACATGATCATAAGATTTGATAGGCAAACTGTAAGGAGAATAACTAATGAGATGTTGGGAGTGAAAGGTTGAATTAACATTACCAGATAGTTGTGGTGGCTCGATCCCTCTTATCCTTGGTTCCAAATGATATTTTCTGTTATCTCAAATTTTTATGTTATAAAAACTTTACATTCCTTGCAGTGACATTGCATCAAAGTTTCCAAAAATGTAAAGTGAACCAAGTAATGAATTGAACCACAATTCAGTCAATCAAATTGATTCCAAAGGGATGAAATGTGATGGTTCAAATGCCGAGACTGCTACAACTTCCTCAAGATTTATCTACATCTAAAGATGAGTGACAACGAGTACCATTTCTTGTTGAGCACTAATTTTTTTTGCATGTTTCTTCTCTAAACAGTGAGGTAGAGATGGTGAAGCATTTAACGTCTGTGGAGAGTGAACAGAAGAAGATAATTGCTGACCTAGAAGCTGACATTTTAGCTTGTCATGCCAAAGAAGCAGAACTACTAGCATTCTCTCAGAAAATGACGGCCAAAAATGCTCAGCTTCAATCGGAGGCCAGTGGCACCTTATCTAAGGTATTCATTAGACACTTGTGACTTTTGCAAAATTAGTCCTCCAAGAGAAATGCTGCAAAATTACAATTTCTTTTTAAACTACTACTCTTACAAAGTTCCATTGTTCAACCATAATACTGGTGACAACTTATCAAAATGCGCCTTCATGACAAAAAACTAAAGTTTTGGTCAAAATTTCAGAATTTTTTACTTTTACATATAAATGTCATGTACATTTTTATCTAGAGTAAAGTATTTAGTTGTCCTTGAATATAAAAGTGTAGAAAAGCCTAAGAAGAGTTGACAGTGATTTCAATTATTCAATGACAGAAGTAACCCTCAGAAATCTTAGGATCACTCTGTTTTAAATTCTTTGAGTGGTTCTCCTTTCAGAGTTATTTCATGTATTTGATACAGGTATAATAAGTTATTTGATGCATTGTTTTTTTTTTTAATAGGAGATGTTTTAGGGTTTGATGTATATCTTGTTGTAAACGGATATTTAGGTTTTTTAATGTAAAGCAATCTCAAGCCAAAATTTTGGACATTTTTTTAAGTCTGATGTTTGCCTTTTGTTTGTTGCTAACTGAGAGTGAGAACGTTTTTTTAACTCTACGTTTAGCTTGATGGAATTCTTCTTGACAAATCAAAATTAGAAGAACAGTCTGAGCAAGTGGAAAAAGGAAGAAAGGCACTGGTAGGTCTGGAAATTTATGTTCCTAGGTATTTTCATGCTTTGAACATTTTTCTTATCAATTTACCTGTAGATAGAACTACCGGTATCTTTTTTCAGTCAGGAATTGTATCCCCACTTTTCTTTTGTCTATTTAGGAAGAAGAGTTGAAGGAGAAGACCTTGCAATATGAAAGAGAAATTGAATCGCTGAAAAGTCATTTGGAAGAGAAATCAAAAGCTAGTAAGAACAATAACTACGAGGAGACGTTAAATTTGTGTGAAACAAATAACAGTTTTACTAATAACAAAATAGGTATAATAAGGATAGCAAAGGTATTATTTTGTAAAGTTAAATTCAAATTGTAACAGGAGCATTTGAAACTCGAGATGACGTGAGTAATGTGGAAACATGTTTTACAAACTTGTTTGGTGTTTGTTCTATATGAAGTATTTTTTACTCTGCTTATTTTCGACATTTAATTATTTCTTTTTCTATTAGATTTTTATCCAATCCTCACAGTTGTATCTGTGCACTCTATGCATGCTTCAAATAACTGGTTAGCAGCTAATCTCATGCAATTTAAAAAAAGAAATCACTTTTATTTTGTTACAGTTTATACTGCTTTTACTCTTACAAGCATCTTAATTTCCTAAGAGCTGAAATTTATTTACAAACAGTAAGTCTAATTCCTTGCTGATAAGTACAATGGCGCTTTGAAAACGCAAGGAATGAGAGGCGGTTTCTTTCATCTCTCTCCTTGTCTCCACACAGCTCTGCTAGCCTTCTGTCACCAGGAAAAAAAAATGGCCACGAAAAATCTTGATCCATGTGGCAAAATTTCTGGACACTTGTTTTGTCTCATTTCAGTGTCGGAACTTGTTGCCTCTCTGGAGGAATCAAAAGATGAACTTCAGGTGGTGAAGAGAAAAAACACAGCTCTTATTAAGGTTAGTGTACGATACGAAGCTTGCAGCATTGTAATTGTTCATAGTTCAAAGCGATGAACAAGGCAAGGTGGTTTGTTCAACACCTGATCAAAAAATGTTTCAAATTTATATCTGCTTGATAGGACGTTAGTAGTTAAGTTAGAGGAGGTTTGTAGAACCTGCTGTTAATGGAATAAATCATAAAACAAGGTATCTGTTATGTATAGTGTATGAGCTCGCCTCGTTATCTTACAGGATCTGACAAGACAGTTGCAACAATCAAGAAAGTAAGTATGGGGCACATTTCAACGATGACAAACTCAATTTAGGCAAGGCTTTTTTGTGGTAGGAGATAAAAGAGAATCCATTTATTTTACTCAGACTTACTTTTCCGCCAGCGATGGGCTTCTCACTGCTCAGAACAAAACCTTAGGGAATCGAGTGAATCCCAATGTAAAGAGTCAGCGGAGAGTGTAGGCTCATTGTCCGAGTGAGAGAAGCCTTGAAAAGGAGTTTAGTTATTGACAGTGGTTCATGTTTCAAACAACTGTGTGGAATTCATCATCGGAAGCAGGGTCCAGTGAAAATACGCTTTTTCTTAAATTATTTTCAATAAAAGTGTTATTGCTGCTAAGTACCTCAAAATGATAAAAAAAAAATCTGTCTTTCAAAAATTTTAATTTTTGCTTTACTCAACATTTTTTTTTTAGACAAGTGGAGAAGCTAGAATCAAACAATCTGGAATCTAAGGAAAATCTAAGTGAGGAATCTAAATCCTCATCCACCAATTCTCTGGATAAAATTGGCGGCGCCTGTACAACTCCTACGTCACTTTCGTCTCCTACCTCAGGCGCCTCTACTACCGATGGAGGGGTGAGTTTTGCCATGGTTACGTCTCACTGTCTGTTGGATTTTAAGTGCCGAAGTTTACTTGGATTTGTTACCATAAAGCGAAAAGTAGCTTTGCCTCCTCAGGATTATCATTACAGTGTAGTTATCCAATCCCCATATGAACTGACGTTTGGATTGTTTTACCGTTTTAGTGGGTTGTAATCAATGGATGCCAGTCATCAGCCGACCGGGTAAGGCTCGTATTTTGTTTCTGCATTTGTTTTTAACTGTTTTCTTCCAGCTTCGTATTTGTTTCATGCTAACAAGTTAGTGTGGATTTATTCCTAGGCCTCACTGGATGTGTCCAGTGGTGACAATGTACAGATTTTAGGGCAGAAGGAGCTCCGTACAAACTCAGAGCTTGAGCCCAATAAAGCAGTACTTGTGGAACGTATCTGTAGACTGCAGAAGATCCACGCTAAAAAGAACGAGAAGCTGGAGTTCATGGAAGGACATGTGGCAGCCCTTGTTGAAGAGATTCAAAAGAAAAGCAGGTGAGTGACTACAACATTCCTGAGATGTAACTCTTTTAGAACCCAACCCATTTGAGACAACTTCTTGCGCGCAGAGCCTCATAGCTAAGAAAATATGAGGCAGGTCTAACTTATCTGCCGCAGCTGAAGGCTGAGGGAGCTAGCACAGACATGAGGTTAGATAATTCATGATATACGAAAACCGAATTCGATTTTTGTTTTATTCTACATTTTTAAACTGAAACAATCTTCAAAATAAGTCACTTGCCAAAGTTTGAGAACACTACACGGATGAGGGGCTTGGAAACTAGGAAGAATTTGAACTCGATGGGATAACCCAATATGCAGGGCAGATAATTGTTCATCGTGTCAACTTCACAAGCTATTGGATATTAACTGTAATCTCTCGACCAATCACAGCTTTCATAATAAGGGGACGTTTGGTCGTTTCAAGATGGCGGAATGTCCATAATCAAAACTCTGTCTCGCCTGAAGTGAAAATTAGCAAAAGCTAAAGTCACGCTTTTGATTTAGTCTGAGTTAAGTTGATGATGCTACTGAGTAGATGTTGCTAGTTGTTGATTTATTGGTGTATTTATGTCCAATGATCTGTTTATCTGTAGAATTATTCATTATTATGTGCTACGAGAGCAAGCAGGAACACTCGCGCCACCCAAGTCCGATCTACATAAGGTGAGTCACAAATTTTGCCTCAGGTTTCAGTCTGTCTTTGTTCAATATTTCTTTTAATGGTACTTGTCCTGAGTTAAGTGTTTGACGCGGTGCACCAAGTGTTCTCCACAATTTATGCGGAGGTTTCGTCTTTTCAAATCACTACTGAAATTAAGTTCTTTCTTATTGAATGACGTGAAACTGAAATAAAAAAGCTCCCAACGACCAACTGATTATAAATATCGCAGGTAGCAAAGAAGAATTGTAGGTGGATAAATATAAATTACCCCTTGAGCGAAGTAAAACCTGATTGACCAAGATGTGATTGGTCCAATCTTCAGTGTGAGGAACATTTTTTACGACCAATCTCATAAGTAAAAAGGAAAAATAAAATCGAGAATTCCTTTTGATGGCGTGTTGAAAACTTCATCAACATGTTCAGACTTATCAGTAGCTGAGATATTTAAATTATTGAACAGCCTGAAATGATAAAGTGAACGAGGCTAAATTTGAAAATATATTCGAAAAGCCCAAGCTTAAACAGGAACGTACCGTTGACTAAACAATCACTTTTAAACAACCTACTAAATCTAATTATATTTGCAACCTTAATTTTATGGAAAGTAAAAAAATGATCAGGAAAAAATCAACTACTTGAGATGTAAACTGCTAGCATTACAATAAGGTGTTCACAGTTGAAGTATTTTTTCACCAACCTGTCAATAAGGCTATATGCAAGGTAACTGTATAACAAAAGTAAAAGTGCCTTATATTAATTGGTTGGTGGACACGCGCACTCCATTGATATCTTCGTAGTGTTACAATGAATGAGTAAATGTTTAAAAACTTGAATAGCTAAAGATTTGCTCTATCCGCAATCTTTCACTGCTAGTTACCTTAAAAGCAAATTTCGAGAAAATTTTGAATACCATTCGCAGTTGAAGTGTGGTTAATTTCTAGCGCACTTGAACTGCGAATAGCAGTTCCATTAGGCAGAATGACCCGACGAACTAAACCTAACTATTTATGGGAATGTGTCCATTCAAAGCTTGTATGGGATTAAAAAATAACAAACAAACGAGTTATCGTCAAGACGGCTGAAAGTAGAGCTTCCAGCTTATAAGAGGGTGTCGTATTTAATAAAGTAATTATGACGGACGACTGATACACCACACTAAACACATGTTTTCTCTCTCCCCCTGTCTCTCTCACGAAAGGACGACAAGCAAGGATCCTGTATGCGCCCCTACTCCCCATTCCTCGCGCGGAATAACTCACAGGTGCTTCTGTCCCTTCACTCATGGCAACGTTAGGACTATCTTGTTTGAAACTGTGTGAAATTGAAGTTTGTTTTAGTGATATTGGGTCCGTGGATTACTCTGCGCTGTTGAAAAACGTTTTGTTTCGTCCCGTGCAAGATCATTTCTAAGCTTTATAGAATGAACCCTGCACGAAATAGGCAGAAAAAATGGTGATATATATATATATATCTTTTCCTTTGTAATTGGCACTGAAAAGCCCCTTTGGGGAAGTGGTCAATAAACGTATGTATGTATGTATGTATGTATGTATGTATGTATGTATGTATGTATGTATGTATCCCACCCCAAGGGAGGACATCCATCACACAGTATTCTGGTGCATGGGAAATTAATGTCTCCTGCCCCTAACCCTGCAGGAGACAGGACCTCCATTTCATTGTCCCTATCCGAGAAAACTAGAATATCTAAACATTTCTTTATGTTATAGAAAGGTAGCATATTTTTCTCAACTATTTTAAGCCCCTGAGTGTTGGTCCGGACGGGGCTCGAACCCTTGACCTCCCGCACAAACATTGTGCATTTACAAGAACTCATAACCATTACATTAAACAGTAAACTTTGAATTAATTTGAGAAATTTGTGATCCTTACAGTGTTGCTATCGATTTACATGTGAGTATAGTGTACATAAAAACAAACATGAAACCAAAAACTCAGGTTTGACAAGGAATGTAGATAATAGCTGGAAGCCAGGGGGAAATAGGCAGCTGTGCACTTGATTTTCCAGGCTGGAAAACTATCTAGGGTCTTAACAATCTGTAGTAATGGATTGTTATAAACCTGTCTGTGAACTGTCAATTTCCGTCNTATATAACTAACTGCAGACAGTACTGTTTCGGCCTTCTGGGCCTCATCAGTGCAGTGCTAATGCTAGGATGGGGGAGAACCGAGACGGTCACCCCAAACGACCCAACCTATATATATATATATGTAGGAAGTTTTGTCACATGACCAACTCTGTTGGCGACTAACTTAAAAACTCTTCACTTGATCTGAGATAAACTTAACCAGACTAAACCGAACTAGGTAAAATACAGGATGATTAAACATCGCTATTTTCTCCCCTCTCAATCATCACTATTCTCGATATAAAAAAAGTGAAAGGTCAATGACTAAGCTGTTAAACTGTAATTTTTTTTTTTTTGTAAGTTTGTCATTTTTTGGCAATTTCTCCCAGTACAACAAGAATTTCGCACAGTTAGGCTTTTACTTTAACGATGTCTATTGCTTGCTTTGACATCCATGAGGTGCACAAGTTCAGATAGATCTCCTATTCACGATGTCATATTTTTATTTCGGTGCTCTTTTCTTTTAGGCCCAAGTGTCTCGTCACGGCGGAATCATGGCCTCTGTTTACTCGTCCAAAGCAGTGGACCCAGACATGACTCTAGATCTGTCCCTCGAAATCAATAAGAAACTACAAGCAGTACTAGAAGACACAATTCTCAAAAACATAACTCTAAAAGTAAGTACAGTGAAGCCGGTCGAATGAAACAATCTAGAACAATTATTTGATCGTTTTGCGCGAATGTACTGTTTACGATCTTTACATAGCCGGACAGTGTTCTGATTTGTTAAAGCGTCGCCTCTTATTGATCCGGATAAAGTGGTGCGAGATTTCAAGAATAATTACATTTCGCAGTGAGGCAAAACCAACTTTCGGTCTGGTGTAGCCAACATTTCTTGTACGAATAAGTTTATTTTTGGGCATTAAATCAGGAGTGGTGGCATTGACGCCAAAAATCTGCGAACTTTTACGTCTTAAATATTATTAAGTCCAAAAGTGTCCGCTCTAAGCCTTGTTTTGACGTCTGCTCGCAAGCTATGTCAAGATACACAAGGACAAGGCTATTTAAGGACATATCATAAGGTCACCGCCAATCGCGCGTATATTTAACAATATCTGATGTAACTGTGCACCCACCCCTCCCCTAACCCGAACATAATCGACTGATAACAAGTTAGAATTTATGTTGGGTAGGGGAGGGGTTAGTGCTTCAGTGGCTCAGATGTTGACTTTGATCCAACTGATGCATTCGTTTCGATACTCTCCCTCTCTCCAGGAAAATCTTGACACCTTGGGAGACGAGATAACAAGGCTCAATGAAGAACTGCAAAAGACAAGGAGAATTAAACGGACTTGATATGGCGAAACGCTAAATGAAGTATGATAGACTGGAACAGGAGATCTTGTTTCATCAGATCTGCCTTAAATGTTAGTCGTAACTATTGGATTTATCGGTGGCTAAATACGGGGAAGAACGTAATGAATCACATTGGTTACGCTCCAGTATAAGTCGAGTTAGGATTGCGTGAAATATACCTCGTGTCACCAGAAAATTTTTAATTTGTAAAGAAATAGGAATTTTAAAGTTGCAATTAAAATTATATTTATGGTATGCGAATAGAAAAAGAAAACTTTACGGTGTGGTGGAGACGACGAGAGTATACTTTCGGTCAAGGAGGGACTTAGTTGACCTTAGTTATGTTAAAATCAGCGAACTTATTTTGTCTTTACTCTACTGTAACACTAGCAAGAAAAAAAAGACATCTAAAAACACCATAAATGGAAAAACGAGATTCATATCATTTTTCATTTATTTTTGTCGTAAGATTGCGAACTAATTTTGTTGTTACAGATGTAGGAGCATCTGTGACAAATAGGGCAGCTTTCATATTGGTGCCCAATCCATTGACGTTCTAATCTCTTTCAATTTCTGACTTTCTCTGTTTTTTGATTTGTTTTTCGTTCGTGGTTATGTTAAGAAAGTCGTATGGTCTTGCGCACTTCACCATTCAGGCTCTGTTTCTGGGTCACGGTATCGGTTAAAGTCGACGTGAATAAAAACGCATCCAGCAAATTTGAATTAATCAAGACAATTATAAATGACATTGTTTAATTAACAGGCTAGTATTTGTATTATATGTACATAAAGGCTTTGCGAATTGAAATTTCTGTGTTCATTTGTGTTTCCTTCCGATCATAACCTGTTGGGGAAAAATATTTCACTTGGCTTTTGCAGTGTTCCACATCGTGGTGTCCAAGGGAAAAAATGTGGATTTGTTTTCTTTACCCGTAAACTTAGATCAGATTCCTTTCACTCATCTCTTCTTAAAGAAAGTGAGAATAAATTCTTAACTTGCTTCCAGGAAATAAGCACCTCTGATTTCTTTTCTTTTCTTATTGGTGCTGCCGCGGCCAATACTAGTGAACTCTAGCATAATTTAGCACAGTATTCAGTAAGATGCAATCAGATGCCTGAGTGTGTGACAAGTCGCTGTTTTCCCTGTTGCTCTTCATTTCACTGACGAATCTCACAACGTAAAGGTCCTTCATAGCAAATTCCAGTCCCCGCTTGGACGAACGAGCTGCGCGTAACAACCGGATTAAAGGGAATGCTAAAAGTACAGGAGATACTAAGGTGAAAATCCTATAAAAGCGGATTCAAAAAGTGCACAAGATGCAAATGCAGCTATCCGCATAAGATCATAAACGTAAGTTTGCCAAAAGGTTCAACCAAAACAAAACACCAGAAAACTTGGAGCTCAAGAGAAAATGGAGGAATGGGGCTACACGACAAAGGCGAATAGCCATAAAGCAATAGTGGGAGGAAGTATCACATGATCTGAAGAATAATCCTAAGAATTTTTTTCAAACTCTCAAACCATTCTTGGATAGAAAGGACAAAGAGGACAACAGAAAGAGAGAAATACATTTATCCATTAATGGTACATTGGAAAAAGATAGGCTAGTGGTGGCAGAGTATCTTTCTAAGTATTTCTCATCCATGGCCAAAGGAATAGGAGGTGAACAGCCAGATGATTTAACTGAGGGGCATTTAATTGAGCATAGCAGTCTACATCTCATTTCTTTACATATGGCAGAATCAAATGATTCCTTTTGTTTCAGACCTGTAAATCATTATGAAGTGAAGGATGCTCTTGAAAATCTTAATACTCGCAAAGCAATTCGATATGAAGGTTTGCAACCCAGAATTTTAAAATTAGTAGCTGAGGAATTGGCTCCTTCACTAACCAGGATTCTCAATACTACCATTGAATACGGGACATGGTTATCTGACTGGAAGAGAGGGGTATGGGTAACTGTCTACAAGAGTAACAACAGAGAAGAAGTGAAGAATTATCGACCAATTACAGTTTTACCCACCATCGATAAGCTGTTTGAGAAACTATTGGGAAAGCAGTTTACAGAGTATATGGATCCTAAACTTAGCAATAGCCTGACAGCCTATCGAAAGAAAAATGGATGTGAAACCACATTACTGAGACTAGTTGAGAAATGGAAGCTGGATCTAGATAGTAGAAAAGTTGTAGGAGTATTATCCTCTGACATGAGTAAGGCATTTGACTCTGTTAGTCCGACCACCACTGCTCATTAAGAAAATGGAATCATACAACTTTTCAGGATCAGCCCTCAACCTTCTGCGTACGTATTTCTCTCACAGACGGAACAGGGTCAAGTTGGGTCCTGTGACGAGTCAGTGGAAAGTTACAATAAGAGGTTGTCCTCAAGGGTCCTCCCTTGGTCCCCTCTTGTGGAACTCATTTCAAAATGATCTCACTTATATAACTGAGGAGGGAATCTCCATGTATGCAGACGATCATCAAATTTTTGCATCAGGCTCGTCTGCTAGTATTGTTGAAGAGAAACTGCTGAGTGAAGGTAGCAAAATTATTAAATGGTACAAAAACCTGCTACAAGTGAATGTTCAGAAATATCAATCCATGCTTATGGGTTCTGGAACTGAGGCCAAAAATAGTATAAACCTGCATATAGATGGGACTGACACTGAACAATCAAAATCTATCAAACTGTTGGGGGTACTCCTGGACTCTCAACTAAATTTTAGTGAGCATATTACCTTAGTCTGTAAAAAGGCAAGTCAACAGATAGGAGTTTTAAGTCGTCTAAGAAAACTAATACCCACTTACGCTAAACTACCACTTTATAAAGCCGCCATTTTACCTCACTTAACCTACTGCAGTATCATCTGGCATTTCTGTAGAGCCTCACACAAACGTAAGGCTGAAAGACTACAGGAGAGGGCATTGAGAGCAGTTTTCAACGATAAATCACTCTCTTATGACGGCCTGCTGAAGCTGGCTGAAATTCCATCACTGGTGTACAGAAGGCTCCAGGACATAGCAATCCTTATGTTCGTGGCAAAAAGAACTTACTTCCTTGTCAAATACAGGAACTATTTATGTCAGAAGTAAACTGCGATAGAAGATATTCTCTAAGAAATGCAGATTTTAGAATCCCTCGCTTTAATACAGTAAAATATGGTAAACTAAAAGTGCTCGAAATACAAACGTAAAGATCCAATAAATGAGAATTCTAATAGTGCGCGAGATACTAGCGTAACAATCTAATGAAAGAGAATTCTCAAAGTGCGCGACGTGCTTACGTAACAATCCCGTGAAAATTAAACCCTAAAAGTGCGCGAGATACTAACGTAACAATTCAGCAAATGAGAATTCTGAAAGTACGCGAGATACTAACGTAACAATCCAATCAAAGACAATTCTAAAAGTGAGCGAGAAACTAACGTAACTATCCAATGAAAGAAAAATCTGAAAGTTAGTATCCAATAAATGAGAATTCTAAAAGTGCGCGAGATACTGTAACAATCCAATAATTCAATTATTTTATAAGTTATAGGTTATTTCTCGGTTGGTGAGCGCGTACGATTCTTATTCACAACGAGTGAATAAAAATCGTACAAGCGAACTAACCGTGAAATAACTTATTCATTATATACATACCGAGATTCATAAGCGAACAGAACTCATATCTTTATTTTCTTTCAAAGGAAAGCAACGCGCGGTCAGGTCGCCGTTCGGAAGTTGCACTGAAATGGCTTCCTTGTACAATACTTCTTTACATCTAAATTATCAAGCAAAAATGTCGTTAAAAGGCAGAACTAGGTAGAATAAATTAAGACATCCTGAAAATATGTCGAAATAGTTATATGGAAGTTCAGAATTTGAAATAAAGAAGTGAAAACCCGAGACTTAATTTGTTTGTTTTTGTTTCGCCTTTCAAAACAAGAAATTCGTGGAACAGAGCGACATCGTGTTTGGTCTTTTTCTTGGTGTTTTCATTTTCCTGTCCGTCTATGAACTCTTCTACTGATGAATCTAGGCTCTGAAAACGGTTAGTCTGATTTGAAGCCATCTTTTTAAAGAAAAATGCGCCTAGGCTCTTAGAAATATGCTATTTGTCAGTCAAGAGGAGCGGCGAGCGAGCGACACGGTTTTTCTCACCAGTGAAAATAATGATATAGCCAATCAGAGCGTCGATACGTCGTTTTTCACCGTAAAAAAAAATCGTATGAACAATCAGCTGGCTCCTCTAGCGCGAAGAGACTATTTTTATCTCGATGCTTTTTGGCGCGTAAATCTCGGTATGTATATAATAAAGGCGACTTCTAAACGCACGCGAGATACTTACGTAACAATCGAATAGAAGAGAATTCTTAAAGTGCGCAAGATTCTAACCTAACAGTATAACTTTCACGAGATAGTAACGTTACAATCCAAAGGGAAAATTTTGAAAGTGCTTAAGATATTGACTTGACGATGCCATAAAAGAGAATTCTAAAAGTGCGCGAGATACAAACATAACGTTCCAATGAAAGAGAATTCAAAAAATTGCGCGAGTTACTTACGCAACGATCCAATGAAAGACAATTCTAAAAGTGCACGAGATACTAACGTAACACTCCAATGAAAGAAAAATCTGAGAATTAGTATCGAATAAATGAGAATTATAAAAGTGCGGGAGATACTAATGTAACAATCCAATGAAGGCCAATTCTAAACGCACGCGGGATACTTACGTAACAATCGCATAAAAGTGAAAAGTGCGCAAGATTCTAACCTAACCGTATAACTTTCACGAGCTACTAACGTTACAGTCCAATGGGAAAATTCTGAAAGTGCTTAAGACATTGACTTGACGATACTATTATACTAGACGATACTAGAATTCTAAAAGTGCGCGAGATACAAACTTAACGATCCAATGAAAAAGAATTCTAAAAGTGCACGAGATACTTACGTATGACGTTTTGTATGAAGTTTTATTGAAGCTTAATAAGAAGAAAGCTTAATAGGAAATGACAAATTACAAATTACAAATTAATCTAATTATTATTGATCTAATTTAAACTTTTATGTTCATGAAGACCGTTCACGCCCGCAAATAACAGGAGCTAGTCGAGGCGGGCGAGAATTAGAGGTGCAGCAGTGGTAATAGAGTACAAATAAAGCTTAAACACAAATTAATAACATTTCCAGAAAAACACAGCCACTTAAAACTCGTATATACAACTGCATCATTAAACATAAGAAAATAGTAATACTACAATGTAGAATATAAATTATAAAGCCAGTTTATGATTAGTAATTTTTTGAAATAGAAGGGGCGATTCAATATAGTAATCCTCAGCCTCTAGGAACGAAAATAACATGTCCTTAAAGAGTTTTTTGAAAGCGCTCTTCGGGAGTTGACGAAGAGCATCGCAAATGGAGTTCCAAAGTTTAGCTCCGAAGCTAGCAAAAGAGCCCTGGCTTTTGATTCAGTCTCAATGGATTAATATAAAAATTGCCGAAAGAAGAGAACCTCGTGTCGTGATTATGCTTTTCAGTGGCTTTAATGAAAAGATTACTAATGTTAGTAGGTACAGTTAGACATGAGACGTCAAAAATAACTGAGGAAACTGATTCAACGTATAACATATTTACGGGGAGGATTTGTGAGGAGATAAATAAAGGCACCGCATGTGCTCTGGGTTCAGAAAAATATATCAGCCGAAGAACACGTTTTTGTAGGACGAGGATTTTATGTAAATGGGATTTAGCAGCTTGGCCCCAAACAGCCACGCCATAGAATAGATAAGGGAAGATCAAAGAGCGATAAATAGTTA